AAAAAAAAAAAAAAAAAGAACATAGCCATGCTTATTTATATGTTGAAATACAGTTCAGTTTGTCAGGTGACCAATTTATTAGTATCGATTAAGATGTTGAGTGGCTTATTCTAGTGTGGTTTTGTGGAATGAAAGAGACAGGAGGGATTATGAGGACTCTCCTTGCCAGGATTGATGTATTTCACTTTTTTTTTGACAGGAAGGAAAGTTTAGGTTCTATTTTCTTAGCAACTCTACTTACTGCCTCCATCTGATCTATATATAGGAGGAGGTAGATATCAGCAGAGAATAGCATCTGTACATTTTGATTAATTCTTTTAACACTTTTTATTTTTTAAAGAGGGAATTTTGGCCGGGCACAGTGATTCACACTTGTAATTCCAGCACTTTGGGAGGCCAAGGTGGGTGGCACCTGAGGTCAGGAATTTGAGACCAGCCTGGTCAAGAGATCGAGACTATCCCGGCCTGTCTTGGCCAGGTGAAACCTTGTCTCTACTAAAAAACAAAATCAGCTGGAGGTGGTGGTGTATTCCTGTAGTCCCAGCTACTTGGGAGGTGGGAGAATTGATTGAACCCAGGAGGTGGAGGTTTCACTTAGCTGAGATTGCGCCACTGCACTCCAGCCTGGGTGACAGAGTGAGCCTCCATCTCAGGGGGGGAAAAAAAAAGGGGTGGGGGTAGGGGTGAATTTCATTAGGTTGTGTGAGCTGGAGTGTGGCACCCTTATAGGCACCATCATAGAATACTACAGCTCCCATACTCCTGGACTGGAGTGATTCTCCCTCCTCTGTCTCCCCAGTAGCTGGAACAACAGGCCTGTGTCATCATGCCCAGCTGCCTTTTTTGTTTTGTTTTGAGCCAGAGCCTCGTTCTGTTGCCAGGTTGGAGTGCAGTGGCATGATCTCAGCTCACTGTAACCTCTACCTTCTAGGTTCAAGTGATTCTTCTGCTTCAGCCTCCCAAGTAGTTGGGACTATAGGCACACGCCACCACACCCAGCTAATTTTTGTATTTTTAGTAGAGATGGGGTTTTACTAAGTTGGCCAGGATGGTCTTGATCTCTTGACCTCCTGATCCCACCTGCCTGCGCCTCCCAAAGTGCTGAGATTATAGGTGTGAGCCACCGTATTGGCACCTTTGCCTTTTATTCTGGGGTCTTTTATTCATATTGCTAGAAATCTGGAGAAGAAAGAAAGGCATAATCTCTAGAGAAAAGCCATTTTTTCTACAGATCATTCTCAGCTTTAGTTTTGCCCATGTTGGTTGCCTATGGCCAATTCCTGGATTATTTACACGTTTCCAGACATAGCTATGTGAAAGCAGGGTTTGCTTTTATAGTGTTTTGAGCCTTTGGTTCAAGTTCTTCCATTCTTAGTCTGTAAGGATCCATGTGGCAGCAACAGAATGGCCTAGCTCTTATGATTGGTTCCTTAAAAAGGCCTTAGGATATTCAGATCTGGGTGGTCTTGCTTGGAACAGGGCTCAGCATGTCATACTTTGACCGCGGAAGAGTTAATCCATATTCTATCTGTGAGTTGTATCTCCAGTAATTTGGTTTTCAGCAAGTGGTCCTGTGTTAGGAGGAGTGGTTTATATTAGAACAGAACAGTCCTTCCAGAGTAATTTTTTCCATTATTTCAGATTTAGGTTTTTTTTTAAAAGGCTCTCACTCTGTCACCCAGGCCGGAGAGCAGTGACACGGTCATAGCTCACTGGAACCTCCACCTCCCTGGGCCCAGGTGATTCTCCCACCTCAGCCTCCCAAGTGTCTGGGACTACAGGCATGAACCATGAGGCTGGCTAATTTTTGTGATTTTTGTAGAGTCAGGGTTTCGCAATGTTGCCCAGGCTGATCTTGAACTCCTGATCTCAGATGATCTGCCTGCCTTGGCCTTCGAAAGTGCTAGAATTAGAGGTGTGAGCTACCACACCTGGACTGTTTCTCTTTGTCTGAACACTATATTTAAATCTAAAAATTCAGACATGGTCCATTTCATACTTGACAGAAAGCATGAGTCAAAGACTCAAATCATTCACATTCTCAGATGTAAAATGTAGCTTATAAAATAAAACAAAAATGTCCTTTATAATTTGTCTTAAAGGTAGTTAAATTAATTTTAAGGGCTAACCTTGAACTGTTATAAGTAGGACAGGAGGGAAGCCAGTATAAGAGCTAAATCTAGTGTCCTGTAGATCTTTGTGTTTCTTACCCTACCCTTTAGAAAGGGTGGGGGTGGGCATGGATAAGACACACAGTTAATTTGGCGGAGGTGGGGGGGGTGGAGTCTTGGTACTTTTGTTCCCTGATCATGCCCTGGAGTTGTTTGGTGGTTTTTTATTTTTATTTTTTGACGGAGTCTTGCTCTGTTGCCTAGGCTGGAGTGCAGTGGCGCAATCTTGGCTGACTGCATCCTCCACCTCCTTGGGTCAAGCTATTCTCCTGCCTCAGTCTCCTAAGGAGCCGGGATTACAGGCGCATGCCACTACACCTGGCTAATTTTTTATATTTTTAGTAGAGATGGAGTTTCACCATATTGGTCAGGCTGGTCTTGAACTCCTGACCTCGTAATCATCTGCCTCGGCCTCCCAGAGTGCTGGGATTACAAGTGTGAGCCACCACGCCTGACTAGAGTTATTTTATTTTATTTATTTTTTTAAAATTCTGCCTTTGGCATGCTGTTATCACTTCCTTACTGCTATGAATCCTATTTTATCTGTTGCCTAGCATATTCTCAGAGTGCTTAAAATACTCTAAAAGCTATTTCCAGAAGGAGCTTTAATAAGACATTAAAATGTTTAATCTCCCAAATGTAAATATTCTAGAACAAAGCATTGTGGGGAAGAAAACATTGGTTGATTTAACACAACTTACTTTCCCAAAACAAGCTACCTTTTGGTTTTCTGTAAACATTGACTTCATTAGGCTTTTCCCTTGCTACTATTTGCACTGTCCGTTTCTTAAATTGCAGTTACTGACACAATTTGTGGTAAATACTGGAATGTAAGGTTTTTAGCAGCATGTATGTGATAGCTGTTACAGAATTCACTTGCGTTTTACTTAGGAGCCTAGGAAGTAGAACCTAGAAGTTTCAGTGGGAATTTTTTTTTATTTGAAAGATTAAATAGGTAAAAAGTCATCTTGAATTTCTATTAAACTTTTTTTGTATAACGTCAGAAGTGAAAGTTCCCCCATATCTGCTTATAGCCTGTTTGTATCCTTCCTGACTTGATTGATTAAATGGACATATCTATATACATGTGCATATAATTCCAATTTTTGCTTAGTAACAAAAACAAAACATGCTATACATACTGGTGACTATTGCTTTTTTCACGTATGTCATGAGTCATTTTCCAGGTCAGTTCATCTAGATCTCCCTCATTCTTTTTTAATAGTGACATACTCCGCTATTATGGATGTACCATATTTATGCAACCGGTTCCCTACTGATGGACATACGGTTGTATCTAGTTTTTTGCTGGCATTATGATAGGTTAGAGCCTGTAATGAATGGTAAGGAAGTAAGTAGATGATAGCACTACTACTTTAAAGGAAAAAGTAGAGAAGAAACTTCCTTTGCCATAGCACTTACTAAATGAAATTTAATAAAAACACTGTCAAAAGTTGGGAGGACCAAAATTGATACTTTTTCTCTGATCTTTTTGCCATGTGTATATCTGAATTCTTTGTTTTTAAAGAAGAAACAGCATTGAAGCATTATTTGGGGGGAAAAACACACACACAAAATCCAGCAACTCAGCATTCATGAGCAACTCTATACTATACCAGTATGTGCCTGTGCAGTGGAAGGAAAACAATTTTGGTAAGGATTGAAACTTTAGCTTTAAAATTCCAACAGGTTGATATTCTAATGAATGATAAATCAAATAACAATTTAAATATTCTTGTATTGACAGTGCTTTTTTAAAAAATCACCCTATCTTTGTTATTTGTAATTTTAGTTTTAAACTTTTCCCTTTTTTCTTTAAAGAAAAAAATCTGAATTTGCAGCCAAAAAAATTAGATATCCTAAGGTTGTATTACTTCTGACTTTTATTAAAATATCAACATTTATTAGAAATGTTTACCGGTCGACTTTGTCCTTTTCTTCAAGGGGCCAAGTTCACTAATTGCTGAGTTTTATACAAATGATAACAACAGTCCTTTTGTAGGTGTGTGTTGCATCCATCTAGATACTTTAAAATGCTCATCTGTTTCATTTTTAAAATTATATGTGGGGTATTATAATCGGTAGTTTTTTGTTAAACGTATTACATCTGTTGTTTATTTCACTAATGTAAATTTTTTCTACCTTTTGCTTGATATAGGAAATATATCCTGGGCAATTCCAGCCATCTCTATGTCACAAATTCATAGCCTTGTCAGATAAGGAAGGAAAACTACTTCGCAACTATACCCAGAACATAGACACGCTGGAACAGGTTGCAGGAATCCAAAGGATAATTCAGTGTCATGGTTAGTAAACTTCAGAATGTTTTTCTATAGTTTATTTTAGTTATATAGGAAAAATCAGGATTAGAAAGCAGACTGCCATCTACAAGTGGAGATTAAGCATTATTTAATCATGTTATCTCATTAATGTAGAATAACCTCAGAAAAGTGGAAAGTGAAAATAATAACAGAAGTATTGGCCTTTGTATGAAACCTCATATAATAGTGTGGTTTTGGATTTCAAAGATGTTGCAGCTGCTTGCAGTCTCTTCTGGCCTGATGCCGTGGCTGCCTGTAGTCCTAGCACTTTGGGAGGCCAAGGCAGGCAGACCACATGAGACCAGGAGTTTGAGAATGGCCAATGTGGTGAAACCCTGTTTCCACTAATTATACAAATATGAGCTGAGCATACTCAAGAGATTGAGGCACGAGAATCACTTTAACCCAGGAGTTGGAGTTTGCAATGAGCTGAGATGGTGCCATTGCACTCCAGCCTGGGTGACAGAGTAAGACTCTTAAAAATTTTTTTATAAGAATAATATTAGCTACTAATGAAGAAATACGACATATTTAGTTTATGAAACTATAAGAGAACTGGATAGTTGAGATGTACAGGATTCAGAGATTTAGAAATGTTTAATGTAAAACATGAACAGGTCATTTTCTTATGTATCTGAACTGTTTCTAAGAACTGCTAAGCTGAGGTGGTAGAATTGGAACTATCCAACTTTGCAGGATTTTAGCCCTGGAGGAGTGAGTTGTTATAGTTTTGTTGAAAAGAGTAGCTTTATTTATTTTCTTTTTTTTTTTTTATGAGTTGAAAAGAGTAGCTTTAGAAGGCATCGTTATATCAGTGTCTCAGCGATTGAGAATTGTATTTATTCTATGTATAAATAAATAAGTATATATGTAAATTCTTTATCCCCTAGATTCTCCTGTAGTGTATCACAAAATCTGCAGTGTGTTCTGAGTTTTGTTTTTTTGTTTTTTTTTTTGTTTGTTTTTTTGAGACGGAGTTTCGCTCTCGTTGCCCAGGCTGGAGTGCAATGGCGCGATCTCAGCTCACCGCAACCTCCGCCTCCTGGGTTCAGGCAATTCTCCTGCCTCAGCCTCCTGAGTAGCTGGGATTACAGGCATGCGCCACGATGCCCAGCTGATTTTTTGTATTTTTAGTAGAGACGGGGTTTCACCATGTTGATCAGGATGGTCTCGATCTCTTGACCTCGTGATCCACCTGCCTCGGCCTCCCAAAGTGCTGGGATTACAGGCGTGAGCCACCACGCCCAGCCTGAGTTTTAAAATAAAAGTTAAAAATCTTTGAACTCTCTTAACTTTGCAGACTTTATAACCTTTGTGGTGTGTCAACTTTCTTAAATTGTCAAACTTTATAACATTTGTGGTGTGTTCAGGAGACAAATAACTTCTAATAAAGCATGTCTATGTTGGTTATTTTTAGGTTCCTTTGCAGCAGCATCTTGCCTGATTTGTAAATACAAAGTTGACTGTGAAGCTGTTCGAGGAGATATTTTTAATCAGGTAATTTGTTTCCCATATTTTAGGAATTGTGCATGTCTCTGATGTATTTCTTCTTTTGCCTCAAAATCCTTTTTTTTTTTTCCTGATCCAGGAAGAAAATAGTTAGCACTGGGAATTTTGGTGAAATACACAAGAAACTTTCAGTACCTTAAGTAAAAAAACAGGTCTATAAAGTCTCTTAAAATTATGAAATTGTCTTCTTAGTGTCTAAGCCAAACATAAAATATCAGATCATAAGCAAGTGGTGTTATGGTAGTTTTTCTGATCCTCTTCCCTTTTTGTGCCTGTCAAGTTTGGACCTTATATTTGTTGTGGTAATCTTTTTAAAGTATTTCATACATATTCATTGCCAAAAAATATAGGAAAATGTAGCAGAAAATAAAAATTACCCAGAAATATATCCTATGTGTTTAGCAATATGTAGAGTTAATCATGTCATTAGGAAAGAGTAAGAACAGGGCCGGGCGCGGTGGCTCAAGCCTGTAATCCCAGCACTTTGGGAGGCCGAGGCGGGTGGATCACGAGGTCAAGAGATCGAGACCACCCTGGTCAACATAGTGAAACCCCATCTCTACTAAAAATACAAAAAATTAGCTGGGCATGGTGGCACGTGCCTGTAATCCCAGCTACTGAGGAGGTTGAGGCAGGAGAATTGCCTGAACCCAGGAGGCAGAGGTTGCGGTGAGCCGAGATCGCGCCATTGCACTCCAGCCTGGGTAACAAGAGTGAAACTCCGTCTCAAAAAAAAAAGAGTAAGAACAGTATAGTAAAATGGAATCATTGGTTGGGCGCAGTGGCTCATGCTTAATCCCAGCACTTTGGGAGGCTAAGGTGGGTGGATCATTTGAGGTCAGCCTGGCCAACATGGCAAAACACTGTCTCTCCTAAAAATACAAAAATTAGCCTGGCATGGTGGCGTACACCTTTAATACCAGCTATTGGGAGGCTGAGGCAGGAGAATCACTTGAACCCGAGAGGTGGAAGTTCCAGTGAGCCAAGAGTTCATGCCACTGCACTCCAGCCTGGGCAACAGAACAAGACTCCATCTCAAAAAATAAAATGAAACCATTTTATTTTACAAATTTGTATTTTATTTATTTATTTATTTATTTTTAGAGACAGGGTTTTACCATGTTGTCCAGGCTGGTCTCTATCTGCTGACCTCATGATCTGCCCTCCTTGGCCTCCCAAAGTGCTAGGATTACAGGCATGAGCCACTGCGCCTGGCATGTATTTTTTTTTAGAAGGATCAATTCCCATTTTGTGTATGTACACACACTGTGTTTTTCCTCTTAATATATGATGGATTCTTGAATGTCAGTGTTTTTTCTACATAGATATTATATCATAATATTTAATTGTTTCATAGTATATTAATAAACTTTCCATTATTGACAGTTGACGTTTTTAGATTGTAATCCAGTTGCTGTTTATCCATAGCTTTTTTTTTTTTTTTTTTTTTTAAATAAATCTGAAATGTTTTCTTACAAGTATGGAAATGTTGTCTCTTTCTAACTTGGGCTTACTCTTCGCTTCTCTACCTCAACCAAAATCTGAACATATGTAGGTAGTTCCTCGATGTCCTAGGTGCCCAGCTGATGAACCACTTGCTATCATGAAACCAGAGATTGTGTTTTTTGGTGAAAATTTACCAGAACAGTTTCATAGAGCCATGAAGTATGACAAAGATGAAGCTGATCTCCTGATTGTTATTGGGTCTTCCCTTAAAGTAAGACCAGTAGCACTAATTCCAAGTAAGTTGGTAATGGTTTTTGGAAAACATTTCTATATATAATGCCATGGGTTGTGGATCTGTATA